TCGGAGTTCGAGGTTGTATTGCCTTGGAGACGCGATTGTGAAGCTGTGCGGACTGCATCAAATGACGAGCGAAAACTCAGCACGGACTGCACGGAGACGCGGCACGGCGAGCTGATAACTTGTAATAGCAAATCTACAATCACGGCCATCTATGCCTCGTCTCCATTCGACTGTTGCAACGAAGATACGAGTTTTCCCAGCCACAATCCCACTCTGAAGTGCGGCATGCAAGTGGTCTGTCCTTTCTTGCACTTCGCCCAATGGCGTGGCTCTACGCCGGTCTGATTGCCGGAAAGAGGGCGCTGACGAGACCTGTCCAGGCCAAGTCGGAATTGCAGTCCAGCCGAGATGAGGAGGTCTTTGGGAGGCAGGGCCACGTGGATGCGAGTGGAAACGTGAGGTCGAGTCGCGGCGTTTGCGAGAGACTTCCCCTACCCATCATCCCTTAGCACCGGAAGCCTTATTGAAGTTACTCCAAAGACTGCTCTGTTGCGTCGACATGCGCAGGACCACGCTTGCTCGGCAGAAGCAAAGCGACCTTGCCGTAGGATCGACTTGTAAGCACCGTCACCGATTCGCGTTCGGATTCCGCTGCCTTGTGCTCAAAAATGGCTACACCACTCGCTCCACCGCCATCCTTCTGCTCGTCCCTTTCACCGGGTGCAAGCATACATTCACACGTTCCGATATCGGAGACAGCCGGAAGACCAGATTCGCATGAATGGTTTATTTTGTATGATTATGAGGACTCGTCCGAGTGTGTAACTCGTAAAAAGGGAGCTGGATCACGTGTAGTCCTGAGCAAAAGAGAGCAACTCAACCGTTCGGCTCAATCGTGATATTAACCGCAATCGCACTCATTCAATCTTTATGCTGATATCACCAACTCAATCAGATGCACACTCGGGATTACGCAATCTTGATCTTGCTGCCGGTTGGATGGGAGGATCGTGATGATCCTGTAGTTGCTCTGAGTTGTAATTGGTGCTTACACACGTGAAGGGGGAAACAGACAGAGACACAGACATTACATTAATCAAATGTATGCATTTATGGTACCAAGAAAACGCACTTGCGTTGAAATGAAAAGGACCAATTAGTTCAATCTCTGTCTATCTATACATGTGTGTATTTTCAAGTATTTAATTGGGTGCGAGTCTGTCACCACCAGTTATCCTAGGCTGAATTAGGTCGTAAAGAAGTGAAAGGTTAATTTTCCCAAAATGATACGCCAGTTCACTTTATTTTGCTTTCCAAAAGTCGCGGGTGGACAGAAATTTAGACCTTTCATCAGCACACCGGGACTCGAACCCGAGCAGTTGAGACGCTCTGCCACGCCAGACTGACACGAGTGCCAGTCGGTGACAGAGCAAACGAGAATGTCTTCTGTATCAC